AGTAGGAGTAGGAGTAGGAGTAGGAGTAGAAGTAGGGGTAGGAGTAGGAGTAGGAGTAGGAGTAGGAGCAGTAGTAGTAGTAGTAGTAGTAGTAGTAGTAGTAGTGGTAGCAGCAGTAGTAGTAGTGGTAGTGGTAGTGGTAGTGGTAGTGGTAGTGGTAGTGGTAGTGGTAGTGGTAGTGGGAGCAGCAGCAGCAGCAGCTCCAGCAGGAGCAGCAGCATGAGGAGGAGGAGTAGTAGCAGTAGTGGTGGTAGTGGTAGTGGCAGTGGCAGTGGTAGTAGTGGTAGTAGTGGTAGTAGTAGTTCGTAATTCGCAGTTCACAGTTCGTAGCTCGTAGTTAGTAGTTACTAGTCAGGAATTAGTGGTTCGTAGCTTCGTCATTGATAGACAATACTAGTACTAGTACTAGTACTAGTACTAGTACTAGTACTAGTACTACTACTACTACTACGACGACTACTACTAGCACTACTACTTTTACTACTACTGCTACTACTACTACTACTACTACTACTTCTAACTACTGCTACTACTACCTGCTGCTGCTGCTGCTGCTGTTGCAGCTACCCCCATCGTTAGTATGTGCAACAGCATCAGCAACCCTTACTTTGATTACATGTGGCCACCAACGGACGACAACAACTATTGTTGCGATTTCTATTGCTATGGCTGCACGGCAACTGCCTTTCATGCTGTTGCAAGCACTACCACTACAGTTCTGCAAGTACGACCAGCACTACCCGCTGCCAGTGTCACAACTCCGGGCATTCAAGCACCTCCTGATGCGCCCGATGAATGCCCCCAGCAGGCCAAGCGGAGGCTGGAGACGGTGCAGGTTGAACGGCAACAGCGACTGCAGGAGGTCCTTCCCACCAGCTGCTTGAAGCTGCAGGGGTAGGTAGATTTAGGTGCAGAAACAAAGAACCTGCAGCTAGGGTTAGGTATAGCCCCAATCAAGCTTCAAGTGGTGCTTGCGTGCAGATGGGCTGTGGTTTGGACAGGTTTCCAGAGATTGATGCCGCGGCACAAACTCCGAGATAGGCTGACAGATGTGGGATATCCGAGACGAGCAACAAGTGCTGATCTTGGGTCTCCCTCTCCGTTTGCGGACTTCAGCATAAAATACTATATTTCGGATGTGTCAAAACATAATTATCCTTGCGGTGTGCGAGCTCGCCAGTTCAGAAGGCTCAGCGCCAGCTGTCTGCGACATGCGCGGCGGCAGAAGAAAGGGCCGCCAATGCCCACCAACGCCGCGAGGTGGGATGCCTGCATTCCACCTCCGGCCCCAATCCTCCCCACTGGATGGTAGGCCGAGAGCTGCGGGAGTTACCTCGAAGACAGACTTGTAGGTCTATGGGTGCTGCAAAAGAGTATGCAGAAGAAAAAACCTGAGAATATGTCATGTGACATAGTATCGCAGCAGCAATTTTGTAGATTTGGTGGCAGCAACTTATGCCCTAACATGTAACATTTAGGATCTAAGATTCCAATTTCTAGGATTTAATATCTACTTTGTCATACTCATACCTAAATCTCACATCTGACTTCTATGTAATGTCTAGTATATAATATAGAACATGTACATAATATATAGTAATATAGTGTATAAGTTGTTATGTACAATATACACAAATAGAACATAATGTCTTTTTGTATGTATGTATGTATGTATGTATGTATGTATGTATGTATGTATATATATATATTATGAGTACATATTATACAGTATATAGAATATAGCCGTAATATTAATTATATGATATGTAATACGAGTACATAGGTCATACATTTTTTTGTATCAGTGTTTGAACCAGCGCCTCGCTCTGGCTCGCAACGCCAGGCCATTCTTCAAGAACGCGAGGCGGCTTTGGAGGCGCAGATGTCAGGGTCCGAGGTTTTGAAAAGCACCGGTTTCGTGGCACGGAGGGTTCATGATGGCTAGAGGGGGTTTAGAAGGGTGTTTGGACGTCCTAACAAGTCTAGCAGCGACAGACCTGAAACTTCTGCTCCGAGACTGAAGGTTTGGGACCTGGATCCATGCATTGCCTTCTAGGCTTCGGTTTCCGGAGGTTCGCCGCCTTTCATATCTCTCGGAGGCGCCGTTGCAAGCCGTGAGGGAGGCGGAGACGGACAAGCACCAGGCGGACCGGCATGGACACATACAGGCTTGGACGAACTCTTACGTCGTCTTCTTTCAAGTCTCCTCCGTGCCAGCTAAACTTAAATATTAATACCACTAGCACTGCCAACTCCCTTTTTCTCGCTGCATGGACTTAAAAGCAAACACATGAACATAAGCATGGCTGCATCAACGAAGCAAGCTGCTGAGACAGACCCGCTCGTGCACGCATACATTGACAACTGCGAGCGTATATGCTCAAAGGGAGCAAGCCTTTGTGTACTGGCACGACGCAGTTAGTACACCCGGATAGAACATACAAGGCTTGAAGCAAAGCCTTGCCTAGCCATACATAAACGGATTTTTAAGTTTATTTTTCTTGTCTATTAGTGTGGGCTAACGGCCAGGTCGAGGTGGAGGAGGAGATCCGCGGTTTGGAGGCGGCCCTGTGAGCTGCCGTGCCCAACCTCCCAGTGGGCCTCATTCTCCTCCCACAAAAGGGCCCGATAAACCCTGAACCCTAAACTTTCCTCCTGCTGCGTGCGAGTCTGTGAGTCGAAACCCACTGAAGGAGAACCGGCGACAGATTCTTCAAGAGCTCGAGGCAACGTCGACAAAGCTGGCCCAGGCCAGGGCCCAGGGGGCGCATTGAGACAGTTTTGTGTTGGAAACGGCTGATGCACGCCTAGACGGTGTCAAATCCAGAACCCTGGATGAACTGAAGTTAGATCTTGAGGTAGCTTGCGCAGATGCCACATGTTCCGNNGGGGGGGGGGGGGGGGGGGCGCATTGAGACAGTTGTTTTGTGCTGGCAACGGCTGATGAACGCCCAGACGTCAGTGTCAAATCCAGAACCCTGGATGAAGATAGATCTTGAGTTAGTTGGCGCAGATGCCACATGTTCCGGCACGCCTTGCTGATTACTCTAATCTTTACTTTGGCCTCATGCCTCGTCTGGCTTCAGGCGCGTGACAGCCGCATGGCACTGCTGCAGCAACATGGAGAGGTCCCTTGCCAAGCGGAAGCGGGTTCAAGCCCCCTGCAGTTGTCATAGCCCATGGCGGCTCTGAGTCCCAACTCCAGGAGCCAGGGTTCACTGTAGTCCTCCAGCGGTGATAAGCAAAGCCACACAGAGGTGACAGCCAAGTACCGGCAGCGGACCACCCAGCTGGAATCCGAGCTTCAGGACGGGTTCCATTGTGCCGCAGCTCATCGCAGCCCACTTCTATCTTGTTGCAAGATTGAAGAATGCGTCGCGTTGGTATGTTCAGAGCCATAGTTCGAGCTATCCCGTCTCGATGCTCGTGCTGAATCCTACATTGTGTAGGTGGCCCTCGCAGGACTTGCGGCCGTCGAGTTTCTACAAGGCCGGCTAACTTGAATTGAAGTTGAGTTGTCTGAGGCACAAGGCTGCTCTTTCTGCTGCTGCCGCCATGCCGGCTGCCGTTGCAAACCTTGGGTGTTGGCATCATCCGCCTGCTCCCGGTGCCATTGGTGATGTCGGGTAGCACGATGCATCAAGGTTTCGTTTTGGTTGGAACCGAAAGCTCTGCCAAGCCTTAAGAACCGTTTTTGTATCTACAGGTACCTCTTGCGAAGCCACATCCGCAAGTTGCCAAACCAACTGAAGCCAATCTTGAATTCGGAGGTCTCGTCGCTTCGTGCCAGCAGCATGACCGAAGGCCTGTGCTGTTGGGACAGATGCAGAGGGACTCAGAGGGTGGAGACTGGAGGGGTCTCATCTCAAGAGCTTCGGGGCCCAAAGACAAAGAGGCCCCGAAAACCCCCCCGACCCTCACCTCCTCAAAAAAGTTTCCTTGCAGTGGCAATTCTCAAGGGTTCATGGGTGGCCTGCTAGGCTTTGGGTTTTGGCAGCTGGGTGTAGATGCTTGGTGAGAACGAATTCTAGCTTTTGCGCAGTCTTGCAGCCGGCTTTGGCCCAGGTTCATCCGTTTGACTGAAGATGCTGGCGCAAGTCCCGACATCATAACTAAATCATAACATTAGAATCCTCCTCATTTCCTGGATCCTTCCCCCTGTACATGAGAGTTTCAGAGGAGAAGGGCCTGACGCACTTTCGCATATCTCTGCATCCCACTGCTCAAGGCGAGCTAGTCGCAGCGCTGAAGCGCAGCACCGAACGCTGGGGTCAGCTCCAAAGCCGTTTCGCCACGGCCCGGCGCATCGTAGGTGATGGGTTCGGTTTCTGTCTTGGGCCTGCAGTGCCTGTTTAGGGAAGGCCGGAAGATCGGGGTCGTTTGAGCTTTTTGGAGGGTAGAAACGGATGCTTAAGTTGGCATACACGTGCACACACATGCATGTCACAAAGCTCCCGGAACCTCCAGGCTCAAACCAGGAAAGGCACCCTTCGCCCTTGCTACACAGGAGGCAAAACCAGCAAAAAGCAACATTTGTCTTTGGACAGTGTTGGTTTTGCTGGTCCAGGTGGTCTATTGCTGTCTTTGATTCCTTATTTGGACTCCGTATTGTCAACTTATTGTACGTAACGTCCTGCAACGGCAGCCCTCCGCGAAACTAGTCACAGTGGAAAACACTTCCTCGGGCTGCGTAACCTTCAACCCTCCGAAGCTATGACTATTAGCCCAACATGACGATGCAGGCGGGCAAGGAGCGTGCCCAAAATGTACTCGCTGAGTTGAAGAAGCACGAGGAAGCAGTGGCAATGCAGGCGGGGCTTCCTCAACGATCACGGCCATTCAGAGCAAGCCTTGTCATACCCCTGCCGGGATCGTAGGCTTTCAAGTACCATGTGGACTTCAGTAAGTACGATTACAGGTAGGGCTTCTGGTGTGCCAACGCATCTCGCCAGTCAAGTTCCATCGGAGCTTAATGCAGCAAAGTTCGGTTACAAAGTTTAATTCAACCTCCGCAGTTTGCAGTCTTTCGCAGCTACATGGTTCGTCACCGAAGCAATGTAAGGTTCTGAAACACCGAGCTAGAGTGGGGAAATGGTATTCACTACATCCAGGGCCTCCCTCCATTTGCACAGCCTCCGCATCATCCGACCATACGCAAGGCAGGCGAACTGTTGCAGAAGCACGCTCAGCTTGAGCAGCTTGTCATGCAGAGCCCCACTGGCTGATGGGTGCGGTTCGGGCTAACGCAGGGGTGTTTTCTGGAAAGCGCACGTTTGTGTACAGCGTGCAAATGAAGGGAGTTGTTGGTTTCAGAGAGGTGTACAATGTAATTCCATAGCAACTTCCTAAAGCGGGTTGCTACATGCTTCCATCCACCCATCCGCTCCGTACAGCAATCCATTCATTCACCAATCATCCCGCATACATATATACATGCATACTTACCTGACGTTGCCTTGCTTTGCCTTGCAATACATTGCCTTGGTTTACGTTGCTTTGCATTACATCATACCACGATTCACTCCACTACGCTACACCACTGTTCAATACATTGCTGCAGTACATGGCATTACATTATATATGTGCTACAGTGGAGGGAATTTACTGATGGTACGGGTGTAACCTTGATTAGTGATTCGGTCAGCAATGCAGGAGGCCAAAAGTACATGACATTGTGTCGTCTACTGGATTGTATTCTATTCTACTTCTGTTCTGCTGTATTGTACTATATTCCATTCCATCCGTCCATCCAGGCATCGAGGCATCCAGCCATCCAGCCATCTAGCCACCGCCATCCAGCCATCCATCCAGCCATCCATCCATCCATCCATCCATCCATCCATCCATCCATCCATCCATCCATCCATCCATCCATCCATCCACATTCGCAGACTTTTCATACATACACATGCACACACGTATACTCTCTGTATGTGCATGTGGATGTGTATGTGTATATAACAGGCGAGGTGTATGGCCGACCAAAACGAACTCCTAATTCATTTCGAGCTCTCTTCGAGTGCGAGTGCCAAAAACTGTGTATATAACACTTGCATAGGCACACATATGCATACGTGCGCTGAAGCTGCCAGGCTTCTCTGTTTCGAGGCAGCTGGCCGCGAGGTTGGCGAGGCGGTGGGGTGACCCCGGCCGCATCTTTAAATTGGAGTACATTGAGAGTTGAGGCCTTAGGGTCTTAGGCTTTCCGGTCTTTATGAGCTTTCGGGCTTACAGCAGTGTAGGGTTTAGGGCTTTCTGCTGCTTTTTCCATGATTCTCGATGAGGGTTGGGGCGGGCATGTGCGGGGGGCGTTCGTTTGAGCCTTGGGCTGAGGTGCTTTGGTTTCGGCCTTGGGGTTGTCGTTGATCTTCCCATGTTCCGGGTCTCAGGGTTTCGGGTCGTAGTGTGGCGGTCTTCGCAGCAAGTGTAGGAAGGCCTGAACCCACAAAGGACAGCAACAAACATGTCCCAAGGAGTCTGCTGGATGTTGCTCGCGCCCGTGCGGACCTCATGGCGCGGGGGCTGTCCGCAGAGCTCGAGGACGCCAACAGATGCTGAGGCTTTGAGCCTATACTCGTAGTATCTATAGGGGTTTTGTGGGGGTTGTGTAAGTTTTTACGGCTTAGGCTCGAGATGAAAAGGCTTGGAGCCAACATCGTCTGGGGAGGACATTTGTGAGCACAATTAGGTGTCGGGTGTACGTACCTGCTTCTGGAGGAGGGCCCAAAGACTGCAGTCGAGTTTGACATGCCTGCTCTTGGATACAAAGCACATGTGAGATCACCACCACGTCTGTGGAAGGACGTCTACTCGATTGCTGCGGCACCAAGGTAGGAGCCTTGGGGCGTCCAGGGAGATCTGATGCACACACACGCACACACACACACACACGCGCGGAGTCTGAGAGGCATAGATTGTCTTCCTGCGCACGGCAGACTTCACCCAGGCGTCGCGACATGAAGCAGCTCCGCTCCGCTTTGGCCGTGGTGGAGTCTGCCTTTCAAGAGGTGGGCCCATGCTCTGAAGGAATCTTCTGGGCTTAACCTTAGGCATGCAGATGCAAAAGTTGCATTGCATAGTCCAGCAACTCTCTCTCTCTCTCTCTTTCTCTCTCTGTGTCTGTGTGTGGATGATTTGACATGGGCATGCTTACTGCTTGGTTCCTGTTAACGACTTCGAGTTGGGGTAGCTTTGGGTCCACACGCAAGTTCCAGTACAGAGTTTCCGTCCCTATGAAACATAAGTTAACAAAAATAAGTAAATAAATAAATAAATAAATATAAATATAAATATATATATATATATATGTGGAGGGGTCCTTTACGTATAATATGACCAGTCGGCTTCTGTTCCCAACACTCTCTACCCTAAACCCTAAACTTTAAGCCCTAAAACCTAACCCTAG